TGCAATGGGAGAAGTTTTGTTTCCCCCCCGGTGAATACATAAATACATAATATTTAAACTTTGTACAAGAGTTTGATATCACATAATGTACTAAACTTTGCAAACTTTGTAGTTTTAGAAGTGACTGTAATGCCAACAAACATAATCCAATGACTACCTGCTTGGTCAGTTACTATGATGAAGTTGTGGCTTGCTCTCTTCTTTTTTGTTCTGTATTTCTGTGAATTAAGATGTTGACTTTTTTAAAATGATGTAACCCACCAGGAGTGCTATTGGTTGGGAGAAAAGCAGGCTATATTTCAAATTAAATGGCAGCATTTAGAATGTTAGCCTGGGTCTAGGGACACTCAGGTTTATATCTCCACCTGTTGGGGAAACTGCTGGGTGACCTTGGTCCAGGCATTCTTTCTCAGCCTGACCTACCTCACTGGGTTGTTGTGGAGAGGAAAAGGGTGAAGGGATTTATTTACAGCACCTGTTTAACCACCTTTTAACCAACACAACAGGGCCCTGAAGAAAAATTCAGGTGGGTAGCCAAGTCGGTCTGAAGCAGTGGAACAAAGTTTGAGTCTAGTGGCACCTTTAAGACCAACAATGTTTTATTCAAAGTGTAAGCTTCAGTGGCACCTGGTGTACGGTATTAGATTTAAAACATAATTATTTTTTCAAAAGTTCTAAAACATCCCAGGGTGAAGCTAACTGTCTGTCACCTCAAACTCCCCAGGGCAAGAGGGGTAATAATACCAGACTATTATATTCCACATGAATGAAACCAAACTATGTTTTAGCCCCTGTATTCTATGTTCATAATCAGTAATGCAGATTAGAATTTATACCACACGAACGGAAAGAAAGAAAGAAAGAAAGAAAGAAAGAAAGAAAGACAGACAGAAAGAAAGAAGGAAAGAAGGAAAGAAAGAAAGAAAGAAAGATTGGATGAAGGGAGGCTCCGTTAGTCCTCCATACTCCTTTGCTCCCCAGAAAAGATGTTGGACTGTGGGAAGCGATAGCTGCATTAAATTATCACATATATGCACCCCATAGAGACAACAGCCAAGACTTTCAGGTTCTGTTCACAGGTCCGGATTGCTTCTATCATTTCATAAAATGTGCAAAATAGAATTGTTCAAGAGGGCATTCTTGTAGAAGGAGCAAAATTCGGGGTGTGACTTTTATTAGGAATAAAGTCTTTCCTGTACTGATTGTCTTGTTGCCTTAAGGACGCCCACCTTCAGTGGGACATGGGGACCCCCCCCTTACCCCGTGAATTACAGCTCCTCTCCAGACTACAGAGATCAGTTCTCTTGGAGAAAATGAAGGCTTTGGAGGGTGGACTCTATGGCATTGTACCCCACTGAGGTCCCTGTCCTCCCCAGGCTCCACCCCCAAATCTCCAGGAGTTTCCCAACCTGGAGATGACAATCTTACTCCCCACCCAAGCCCACACACCAGGTGGCCACGGTGAATCTAACAACCCTGCCTTACATACAGGAGTCATTTCGTAGAAAAAGAGGTGCAGGAGCTCAGTAGCATAACTCATTAGCATAACCGGAAGTGTGTCAGAAGGCAACACCCACCGCTCAGGCTCCACTGGACTCGTTTGGATTACTAGCTATTGGGAGGGGGGAACGTGCAGATCTGCCCTCACAGAGGAGGGAGAGCTTGTACCTGAATAAAACCTGGTCTTAAAGGTACACTGGACTGTTTTGGATGGGGGGGGGCCCTCTGCAACTTACCTGGCTGCTCCTTGTGGCCCTGGGGCTGCAGGGGGCAGGGCTTGTTGCATGTCCCCGCCCCCTGGGCTCTTTACTGCCTGAGCTCCACTCCTGTGTGCTCCTGCAGGAAATGACCCCTGGGTTTATCATGCTTGTAATCCACCTTTTGTCCTGACAAGAAAGGCGGCCTATAAATGAGAGAAATAAATGAACTGTTTAACAGACTAATAGAGAACTGGGTTCTGTATCATTGCATGTTTCTGCCAGAGAGCATACAACTTTATTTCCTTGTCTGCTTGATTTATCGTTTGCCTTTCTTGTTGAGAACTTGAGGCGGATTGCAGAGATATTACAATAATGCAGTAAAGAGCAGTATAATAGACATATATGATACCATATTAACAGTTGTGGTTTCCCCAAATAAACCTGGCAATTGTAGTTTGCGCAGCAGCCCTCTCCAAACTACATTTCCCAGCCTTCCCTGGGGAGAAGACATAACTTAAACAGTTAACAGTCATGCCAGAGGAAGTAATGATTGCTGCAGGCATTGACAGCTTTAAAAGGGGATTAGAAAGATTGATGGAGGACAGGTCCATCAGTGGCTACTGAGCCGTGGTGACTAAAGGGAACCTCCGTATTCAAAGGCAGTCAACCTCTGAATCCCAGTGCCATGAGGCAACATCAAGGAAAGGCCTCGGCCTCTGTGCCCTGTTGCTGGTCCTTCAGAGGAGCTGTGAGAGACAGGATGCTGGACTAGATGGACCCCTGGTCAGATCCAGCAGGGCTCTTCTGATGTTCTTAGGCCCAGATCACACAGAGAATTTGCCGCGTGAAAGGCACGAATGCTGGGCGGATTTTCAGGGCGCGATCACACTGCAACATCTGGCAAGCGTAGCACACCCATGGACAACCTGTGGTGTGCCACCGAAGATGTACAGTTAAAAAGTACCTGCAAAGATCTACTAGCAAATGGTTTGCCACAGGCTGCAGACGGACTTGTTCGGTGTGATGGCGCCGGCATGCGCCTATTCCCTCCGATCGTCCTCTTTGCAGTGCGCACCGAAGGACAAAACCCTGGTGCGCCGCCATCGCGTCTGATTGCATAATGGCGGATCAGGATGCGACTGTGCAAATAGCCACGCCTTGCCCCCGCATTTTCTGGATCAGAATGCGACTGTGCAAATAGCCACGCCTCGCCCCCGCGTTTTCCGGCACGTGTGGCCGGGGCCTTATTCATGTCATCGATATACCGTGGTATAAACAATTCTGTCAGGAAATCCCTTTAGACACATGCTCAGATAACCCCAGTGTGGGCAGACCTAGTGTTGCCAACCCTGGGTTAGGAAATTCCTGGAGATTTGGAGGTGGGGCTTAGAGAGGGTGGAATTGGGGGAAGAGAGTAGGGTTACCAGCTCTGGTTTGGGAAATACCTGGAGATTTTGGAGCTGGAGCCAGGAGTGGGCAGGATTTGGGGTGGGGAGGGACTTCAGAAGGGTATAATGCCATACAGTCCACCCACCAAAGCACCCATTTTCTCCAGGGGAACTGATCTTGATTGTGTGGAGGTCAGGTATAATAGCGGGAGGTCCCCAGGTGCCCCCTGGAGGGTGGCAACTCTAGAAGGAAGGGAGCTCCGGAGGGGATGTGGTGTTGTAGCGTCCACCCTCCAATAGTCTGGAAGTCAGTTGTGGTTCTAGGAGTATTCCAAGTCCCACCTGGAGGTTGGCAACTCAAAGCATACTCCTATGGGGCGTCAAGCTCAGGCCAGAACAGATAATGGAGGTGTTCCTCTGGGGTAAACCTTCGAGTGAGCAGTGGCTCCAAATTGGCCTCGTCCTCTTTGGCTGGCGCATTACGCTCAGGCAAATTAATGAATCTGATATTTACTGCATAATAGATGCCATTTTATGGGGGTTGTTTGGGATGTTATTTATTCTTCCTGAAGCCAAGTAGTAAAAAATTTTATAGGATCTGGTTGGAGCCAAGCACGGACTGCTGACATTCTTATAATTTCCAAGATGGGTCAGGTTTAGGGGAATCGCTCCTCATATATAACGTTCAAACTAGGCTGGCTTTCTTTTTCCAGCACACTCAGGTTGGATTGGGCCTGCAGAGCCAGGACGCTTGGAGAATAATGTGGGCTCCGGGGTAGGGTTGCCAGCTCCAGGTTGGGAAATACCTGGAGATTTTGGGGGTGGAGCCTGAGGAGGGCGGG